CCCCAAAACCCCAAAACCCCAAAACCCCAAAACCCCAATTTTACTCTAAAACCTTGAATAAAAATTATTTTGTGAGTTTCCAATTTATTAAATATTTATAAATGGCAAGCAAATTAGATCGGAAGCAGACATTAAATTCAACAATTTCACAGTCACAAACCACAGCTAGGAACATATTGACTGGAATAGGGAAGGAAGCTAAAAGTAGGTGTACTCTTAATGCCTGTTATTCTCTTCAGATTCCTTTCTAACCTATTTAGACAAGAAGATCACATCGACTGTTAAGAACCCCAAAGACTTGAAAAGAGTGAACACAAAGAGTCCTCGCTTCAACAAAGCAAGGGAAAGATTGGAAATATCCCTTGATGAGATTAGGATCAGAAGTAAGAAAGAATTTGACTATAACTCAAAAGGTATCACCTTATTGTAATTCCTAGGAGTTCAGGAAGACCCAGAAGTTGCCAAAGTGAGGTATCAAAACTACCTCAGGGCTCTCATGCAGACTTATAACCTTATCCTGGAGTTAAGAGCCAAGCAGATTAAGAAAGAAATCAGAGTTAGGGAATTCTATGGTGAAGGTACGCTCTTTCAGGTCAGCTATAGACTCAGAGAAAGCTAGTATTGATTATTCTAGCATGAAGAATCTTAACTTAACTGCTGAAACTCCGAATTCTCTGGAGAAGGTTTGGCCTTCATTGCTAGGAAAGTCTCGGGCACAGAATATGAGTCTTGAAAAGGTAAGCTACTATTCTAATTAAATCCTATCAAATTTAGAAATGGCTTTATTCATAATGCTTGTTCTTTGTCAAGATCGAAAGTTCTATTATGAGAAATAAAACTTATTCTTTTGGCTACTTTTTCTGCTTCCTTTTGTCTAACTTATTGACTAGGCTTTGCCAAGTAGTACTAATCTTACTTCAATTCAAAGAAGTTACAAGCTTGAACGACAGAAGATTATCATGAAGAACGTTCTTAGAAATAAGCTTGAAGAGGACAGAAAATTATTTGAGCTAAAGGAAAAACTTAAAGAAAAAGAGAAGAAATTTAAGGAAAATGTCAAGAATTCTAAATATGATCAAATGATTTCTAAAACTAAAGCTGATGCCAAAAAGATGTAAGCTCTTTTATTTCTTCCTAACATTACCTTCTATAGACAAAGACTTGAATGTGTCAAGAAGAAGATGGATGAAAAGAGAAAAAGCGAGAAACTCCGTCAAAGAAACTTCAACATAAAAACTAAACATGCTGTAAGGGTTACCAAAATAGGTCGTTCATCCCTTTTCTAGACTGAGTATCTTAACAGAACCAGAGAGGAAGAAAGCAAGAAAATGCAAGAAAAGATTGCCAAAAGCTTAGAAAGGAGTAAACAGAGACGCCTGAAGGAACAGAAAGACCTTATTGAAGAAGAAGAGAACAGACTAAGGAAATTAGGTACCCTTCCTTCCCAACCTATAGAGTACTTCGAACGAGATCTAGAAACAAGAGTCCAGACCGTTCTAAACAAGCGAAAATAAAGAAGACCACCTGCTCAAAGTCAGAGAGAAGGTCAATGAATTTAAAGAAAAACAACAGCTTGAAGACTCCAACAAAATTCTCAAATTATTCAAGTCTAAATAAGAAAAGAGATATGGCCATCAAGTCTCTACAGGGTCTATCTTACCAAGAACGGTTCCGATCTGCCAGCGCACATAAGGAACAGAAGTTTGTGAATGAAGATTTAGAAACAAAATCTAACGTAAGTTCCGTGTGCTCACCTGCAGAATGATAAACAAAAGAAAGCATTCACATATAAGGATTATCTGAGGAAGATGAAAGAAGCAGAGAAAAGAAAGCAGAAGCATGATGAAGGTACGGAGCTTAAGATGATGGTTTAGAGAAGCAGAAACACTTAAAATTGATGAATGAGAAGTTTGCTAAAGTTGACAGAAGCAAGAAGTTGGAAAAGATCCGTAAGGAAGAGATCATGGAGCAGTATCTTAAGAAACATCATCAAGTCCAGCAACAGAAGATGAGTAAGGGCGTTAGGGTTATTTATAGTTGAAAAAATTATACAGATAAAGAACCAGAAGATGCAGAAGGTAATGGTGGCTGTTTTATTAAGTAGGATTTAGAAAAAGAGAAAATTATTTTGGAAAAGAATTACAAGTTTACAGTGAAGAAAAAGAAGAAGAGTGTGAGTTAAGACTGAAAAAGTAGCCTACACTTTATGCAAAAAGTTCAATAACTTACAAAGTTGAGGGGTTTTGGGGTTTTGGGGTTTTGGGGTTTTGGGGTTTTGGGG